AAAAAAAAAAAAAAAAAAAGATGAAGTTATTCCGTTAGTTATTATAGCTGCTTTAGGGTTGGAGTCAAGAATTTTAACCCACTTCACAAAACCTGAACCAAAAACCATATTTCTCTAAGGCTGCAAACAAAAACGCCCACTCCACCCTGTCAGAGGCTTTTTCTGCACCGATGATAGTGCAGCGATGGGGTCTAGATTAGAATGATTCCTCCTCATAAGATGCAATAACCTCCAAGCATGCAATCATAACATTACTAGTTATCAGTGCAGCTGATTCCCGCTGTTAAAGTTCAGTTTGGGTTCAGAAAGGCTGGTTAATGGATCTTTGTTAGTGGGTTTAAAAAAGTCCCTAGAGGATTGCTTGAGTGCAGTGTGAGATCTGAAGCAGCCTGTTGGATAGTAGTGCTATCCCTTTAAACTTTCTGCAAAGTCACGCTTACTGTATAATCCGTTATGCAACACCCCTTTCATGTGGGCGGATATAGGCAATAGTAGAGCGCTCTGTTTCTTCAGCTCAGCTCAGCTCAGCTAGACCTGCTTCTCATTTTGTGGTGTGTGCACATCCCAGTGATTTTGGACATTGTAAGATCTGTGATTTCTGTCTGATCACTACATTTACAGAAGCAAAGCTTTGCGTTTGCAGCACTCTTCTTTTCTTGAAGGCAAAGTGTGACTTGTAAATGGAATAAAAAGTAACTTTGAAAGATGTTGTCTGTGACTAACTTTGCATTTCTCTGGGCTTACACAGCTGTGCGTTTCTGCCATGGATCTGTGTAATAAAGACTCGGGCGATGTCCTACCTGTGGTCATCATCGGTAAGTGTGGAATGCCTTCTTTTGAAGAAGCAGAATTGTAACTCTATGGCGTTATGATGAGTAATGTAGGTTGTAGGAGAGGAATGAAGGGAGGATTTATTTATGACTTTTTATTTTTTCAAATTTCTCTCTTTTTAATGTTTTACTTTAAAAAAAAAAAAAAAAAAAAATTAAAGATTTAATAACATGAAGCAAGAATAAAGAAACTGTGTTTTTTGAACAGGCAATGGCCCTTCAGGAATCTGCCTCTCTTACTTGCTATCAGGATATACACCCTACTTCTTCCCTGAGGCCTTTCACCCTAATCCAATCCTGCACAGAAAACTTCAAGAGAACTCTCATCTGTCTTTGTTTGAACAGGTAATGGAAACCTATACACTGGGTTTTTTAATGGTGTTTATGATTTTTTGCTTGTTTGGCCACATGATTATAGTTATTTAATTCACGCATATATATATATATATATATTAGCATGTATTGTATGTTCTTCATTTTTAAGAACCATTCGGTTGCTGTTTGTTTGTTCTGTTTGCTTGCTGTAACAAGGTGTGCTCCTTACAGGATAATAAAAACCACCTATCATTTTCATATATGCAGCTCAAGCATTAGTGGCATGCTTGGTAAATGTGGGTACAAATATTTTTGTGGTTAATA